CAATCCTTCTGACGGAGACCATGCATTTGTGTCAGGAGAATGTGCATTTGAGTGCATGATGGCAGTCGTGTGTGTCAGTGCGCAGGGGCATGCTGTGCTCCTCATTAAATTATGACAGTAAGCTTGAGCAGGGGCTGTGTTTAGGCTTTGTGCGCGCGTGCGTGTGCGTGTGCACGTGTGCGTGTGTGTGTGTGTGTCAGCAAAAATCACTAAGAGCCCTCAGTCCTGCCTGCGTCCTGTCCTGCTTCCAGCGCTCACGTCACTCACTGAGGCAGTGACAACAACAAACAGCAGCAGCAACAGCTAGCCGGATCTGCTACCTTCCCTTCCCTGCCTCCACTTATCTCTGGCTGTCACTCTCACTGCTGCCCTTTCCTGCCGATGCTGGAGTTTCCCCTCTCTCCCTCTCAGCTGGAATGCAGATCTGGTTCCTGCCTGGCTGAGCTGAGCGTTACTCTGACTCTCTCTCTCTGACTCTCTCTTCTCCCCCTGCCCTTGGGTGAGCTGCTCCCTGTCTGCTGTAACAGACCTAAATAACAGCCTCTCACAGCTCTCGCTGAGCCCCAGACACGGCGGAGCGAACCAACTGCCTCGGCATGACGCTCTGAAAGGGGGTGGAGAGAGAGTGAGAGAGAGAATGCCAGAGAGGGAGGGCCAGAGAGAGGGACCCAGGAGGAGGTGGGGGGAGCAGGGAGGGAGAGGGAGGAGAGGGGGCCGGCCAGCAGAGCCTGCACTACAGAAAGAACTGATCTGGTTAGAGGACAAAACTCTATTGCTATTCTTCTTTTCCTTTTTTTGTCCGTGCTGCTTTTGTGTTTCATATTTCAGCACAGAATGCAAACAAACACGGTCCCCCTCCCCTCGTGTCCCATTCAGATCTGGTCCCTGTCTCTGTCTCTCTTTCCATCGCACCTCCCCCAATTCCCCTGCAGTAAATATGAGCCCCCTCCCCTCCCTCCCCTGAGCCCCCGTCTCTAATCATAACCATATTAAAGTCCAGCCACTGGCCGGGTGAGTATGTGTGTGTGTGAGAAAGAGAGCCGGAGAGAGAGAGAGCGAGACAGAACATTGTGTCGTGGTTGAACCCAGAAACCAGATGCCAGGGTAAATCCCTCCTCCTCTCGCTCTGTCTGTCTGTTTGAGGGAACAGAGGATGGGCAGTACGCTCCGTCTCTCCCCCTGGAAGTGCTTTAACAGTGATGAATGAGGGCTGCCTTGCTCAATCCCCGTAGTGCATTTACAGAGACAAATACCCCCAATATACAAACACACCATGTGCTGGACACACTTCTCACAGGTTCTCTTGACCTTGTTTGTGATAAATCTCTGAGCAACCATCATGAGGAAATACAGATGCAACGATGCAGATGTGATGTTGTTGTGTAAGTATTCATTTTAATGTGCCCCCTTAATGTATCATTGAGTCAGAAAATGTGCCCTTCCACATTTAGCCCTTCTTTAACACAGGCTGTTCTTTGTATATCTAAAATAATTCAATTTAAAACATAGCAGTGGCGGTAAATCAAAGGAAATCAATAGGCGGTCTGCGGTCAATAAAAAAGCCTGTCACTGGTCCTAACTGTTGCTCAGCAGACGGATAGACTCTGGCCGGGCTAAAGCAAACAGCTTGATACAATGGGAGATGTATGATAATAGAATGGCTTTGGTTTGTGTGCCTCTCACATTCATCTCCCCCCTGTCAGGCAAGTACAAGTGGTACAGCCCAGCAGGCAAAAAAGACAACATTTCCTGTCAATCTGTGCTGCTGGCTACGCTCTCCATAAACACACACTGCCCTCCCTCCTCCTCGTCCGTCTCACACTTCACTCTTTTTCCTGTCTTATGAAAAAAACTGTGCCTTCACATTTCGTGCTATTTTGAAGGATTTTGATCAAAATGTTTATTGACCTTTAAGCTTTTGCTTCGGTTGGGATCTTGTGTTTATTTTGTTAGGCTGGCACACTCATACACACATTCAGGTTGATACAGCTCACACACTCACTCACACATTTAACAGCTCTTTTGTGTTGCATCAAACAGTAAACAACATCAGTAGCTTGATGTGTTTCTTCATACAGCTGTCAGGTCATAAAGAGGAAGCTTTATGACAGCAAGAGAGAACAGTGGGGCAAGAAAACAAACTGTTATCTATCAAATATGCCCCTGCTAACAGTTTGTTGTTAAAAGTTACTCTCTTCCTTTTCACTCTCTACCCAATTACACAATCATTCAAAAGAATGTCCTGATCTTAATGCATTTCAGATTAAATCATCACTGCCACGAGTCACATTTTTATGATCCACAGGCATTCTTCTCACACTCGTCTTTCGTCTGTTTCCTGTGTTGTTTTTTTCTTTCTCGCAGCTAGTTTCAAACAGCATCCTGGAAACTTTAAACTGGCTAATCCCCTGGTGTTCAAATGTTCCTTGTAACATCAGTGTTGTTTGCCAGGGCTGCTCTCTGGACTGATGAGGCCAATACAATCGATTTGTAATATCATGTACTTATACTTGAAAATGATTTTTGTTTTTGGAGATTTATGGATCCGACTCTCTCGTGGTTTTTACATTTCATTGTTACTGTGTTTGAGACTGTAATTCAGACCACTAACCCCAGGTTTCCCTCTTATTGGCACAGCACTGTGAGCTGAGAGTCTTCCAGTGCTTCAGAGGGTTTGCAGAGTGAGTTTAGACATCTAATCTACACATACTCCATACTGCTGCTGACCCAGGCCGGTCCCTGCCTCCCCTCCCTCCTCCTCTTCCTTCCCCAGCCAGAGAGGTTGAACTCTAGAAGAAACCCCCACTGGGCCACTAACTTTCCCCCCAAACTTATCCTGCCCTCCCTCCCTCCCTCCCTCCCTCTCTCGCTCACTCTCTGGCTCACAAGTCTCTCCATCACTCTCCCTAATACTCTCCCCCATTTCATCAAGTTCCCTATGACAATTTTTTACCCATAACAACATGATTTGTTTTAGTTGACAAAATGCTCTGCTTTTGTTTCTGCTTTTGGAAATGTTTCAGTGGCTGCCGACTCACTGGCCCTTTTGTGAGACTGCTGCATTTAATCAAATGTAATTGCTCCGATTAGACCAGACTTCTGCTCTCATTTAAAATATTTGAATGTTTCTTTTGTGATATGATGTTTCATGTCTTTATCTGTACAGTAGATAGCTCAATCAACTGCTCCCAGACTGTTTATAGTTCCACGTGGGCTGGAGCCCTGCATAAAATAAGGCTTTACTACTGTCTGACACTCTGATGCCGATTACAGATAAGACGTATACAACACATTGTTGCCACTTCCTCTCTATAAAGTCATTCAGGTTCTAGCCAGGCAGTCAACAACACAGTGGTGTGTGAGGCAATAAAGACGGCTTGTTTATAAATGCCTATGCGCTAAACGCAGCACGGTGATTTTGAAAGGAATGTAGAGCTTTTGCAGCGCTGATGTGAACATATGTGCATTCTGTGGACGTGCTGAAACAGATTGTCGGTGATGATAGAGACACTGAACACCAGCACAGAGCGCCCTCTCACTGCAGACAGTTTCAGGTTACTCAGAAACACACGCAGAGGTCCTATACTGTATAGGCTGTGCTTTCTAAACAAAAAGAAAAATTAGGTGCATACACCCAAAACAAATTGCCATTTTAAAAATGATGAACCTCTTATGAAGATGAGTTATGTTTGTTAGAGCATAATCAAAGCGTTCTCACTCATCACATCCATCAACTGCTCGACCAGCCGCGGGTTTTACACATGTTCAGCTCTGACAAGACATGTAACCTTATCCACTCATCTGCCCACTCACAATCTCCTATCTCTGAAGATACCTGATGTGTCACAGATGAGGGATGAGAGGAAGGTGAAGTATGACATGGGGCGGCGGCCATGTTGGCCTCTGTTCAGGTGCTGGTCCCAGCGAAGGCCTAACAGAGCTACTTTTCAGAGCTCTATCACTCTTGGCCATCTTTCAGAAAGTGTTTTTCACTCTCTGTCCCTCTTTCCCCCTCTATCTGCACTGTCATGACATTTTGCTATCCGTGTTTTGTGGGAAAAAAAGAAATTTCTTTTAGTTGTGCGGCCAAGCCGCCCTGTGCCTATGCGCCCTCCCACGTCTTCTGAGAGCCCATCCCTCATTTCTCGCCATTGCGCGCTCTTTGTCTTGCACGTGCCCACGAAGACACATCTGAAAACAGACCCCTCCCATTTTTAATAGTAGCCTCTTTATCTTCATCTGTCATCATGTCAGAGCTATAGTAAACTCTGTGGCCTCTCCCTTACCAGCAACCTTTGCTGACTTTCCACACACACAGGCATGCAGGCACAAGCAAGCGCACACACACACACACACACACACACACACACACACACACACACACACACACACACACACACACACACACACACACACACACACACACACACACACACCAAAAGACTTATACACAAACACGCAAACTTTCAGAAAGTTTCCAGCACTTAGGGCAAATTGGCTCAAACTTGCACAGAGGGATAACGAGAGGAAATCCAAGGTGGAGGCTGAGGAGAAAGAAAGCATGAGAAAAGAGCAAGGGAATTCAAGAGAGCATAAGCCTAAAGGGTTTAGGATATCATCGGAGGAGCAGATATTCCACCCAGTTTCACAAAACCTCTGTCAGTTGGTGCTTTAAATTGACTGGGAAACAAAGTGAGCCTTTGTGCTCAGCTCATTCCCCCCTCATCTATTGAATCAAGGCCAGTGCTAGATACAAAATAGAAAAGAGCAATGTGAGGGGAATCGATTTCCAAAAAGAAAGGGGAGCGCCTTGGAGAGCTGTCATCTTGAAGCGAGCAGTCGCCAAGGGAGATGAAAGCGAGGATGTCAGATGATGCAGGGCTGTTTATTACAGCAGTGGAGGCTCCGGTCTCACTGATGGATCAAGCCAAACAAGCGCTGAACGTGCTGTCATCACACACAAGTACACAAATGGTCCAGTCCTAGCGATGCTAATTTGCTATTTGGATCATGGTCACAGGAGCAGAGGTGCCATCGAGCAGATGGCTCCTTAATGGCCCTTTTTTTACTAATTATGTTTTTGACACTCAAAATGATTTACCAACTGGATGGTTCGTCATTAAATGTAGTAGTATCTTTACATTGATTCAAAAATACAAACCCGTTGAAGGATAGAGATTATATTTGTAGTCTTATCCACAATTGTACATACAATAAATCAACAAATGTATGGAGATACTTTATATTTAGACTAAAGATGTTGTTCTTTGTTAAAAAGAAATAAAACATTGTTTTTATTATTATTATTAATCATTTCCAATGTTTTATTTCAGTCTTTTAAATGATTGTTATCCATATGCAACGAGAACATAATAGTCTACTATTAATCCCAAATATATTTCTCTCATTCCTGAAATTCTCCAGAAATTCTTTGAAATCCAAAATGTTTTCACCCCAGGCTCAGGCCCCTTCAATAAATCTAACAGAGATCACAAATGACAGAGAGGTGCAAAGAGGTCAGAGATGGATCGGTTTTCAAACAGAAAATCAAACTTGCAGGTGTCTCTGAGGGACTTTCACAGTTTTTAAAAGAGCAAACGGGGAGAGAAACTTCAAGGAAGTGAGGGCCAGCAGGGCTGAGCTC